TCCTTTGAGTTTTGTCAGACCATCTGAAGGTAGAAAGAAACATATATCCTCCACAGCTAAACGTTACTTCTGACACTTGAAAAAAGTATTTCCTTCATGAGAAATAGGGAATAGACAGGAGAATGGAAAACAGCTCATAACAGGTGAATGGAATTAAAGAAGCAGGGCCTTTGAAAATATATATTTATTTTCAATTTCAGGCTTAGACATCAGCTGCATGATCATTAAAAAACTACTCAAATTTTATGAGCCTCAACTTCTTAATCAGGAAAATGGGAACAGTAATGACAGGGTAATACATGTTTCATAGATATGTCAGTATTAAGTTAGGAAATAATGTTAATGTTCTTACCTCAGTGTCTGACAATTGTGGAGTCCAGGAAATGGAAGCTCCCCCACCCTCACTCCTTTTAATTTTAATTCTATGACTAGTTGGTAAATTGGCTTTATTTTTCAACTTTTATATCACTATAAGACGTCTAAGAAACAGATCAAAGGCCAAAGCAGGCAGGCGTATACATGTGGATACAGCATAGAAAACCGAAGGCTAATTCAGCTCTCTTTCCTTGTTCAATTTTTTGCCTTCTTTAGTCTGAATTCGCTAATAATGATTCTTCAATACATTTTCTTTGTTTCCCCATTTGTCTTCTCATCATCATCTGACTCTTTCTGGTCCTCTGTTTCTCATCTCAGGTTTGAGCCCATGGAAGATTCACCAAACTGCAATCACTACTCTGGTGGATTGTGGCAGTGGAGGCTCCTGCCCTGCTCTGTGGCACCATCGATTTCCTCACCCCTCCATCCTCGTGGTTGTTATGACAGTCTGTGGCTCCAACAGCCTCACTTGCTCTGTGCTGCCTAGTTCATCAAATCTGGACTTCCCTGCTTGATTTTACCTAAAGCCTTACCCTACCTATTCAGGGTATTCCATTTCAGTGTTCAGTTTTCTTTAATCATGCCAGTATTCTCACTTTATAGTGATAAATGCATCTCATTTATTCATTGGCTCATTTGATTTTACTTTAATTTTATCCTCTGGAATATCCTCTTTTTCCAGTCTACTCATGCAGCATTTGAAACCTATAAAGAATTAGATGAAAATCACTGTTATGAAGAAATGTTTCCTTTTTTATTCCAGTGATATCTTCTACATTTTTTTTTTNATATACTAAATGCATTGCACTCAGAATAGGCAGTCCAATGAGAGGATGAAGATCAGGAAACAGGTTACACACCCAGGTGCACCATCCAGCCAGGTGGATGGAGCACAGCCTCTGGGACATGGCAACTGTGGAAAGCAGAGGCCTTTCTCACCTCTCCTCCCACTCATTTCCACTTGGCTCGCTCTTGCAGAAACTTTGTCTGCAAGAGTTAAACAGTGCAAACAAATCATTTAAAAGGAGAAAGATATTAGAATTTGTACACAGATCATAAAAACTTTGTTCTCTGATTTAAANAAAAGGAGAAAGATATTAGAATTTGTACACAGATCATAAAAACTTTGTTCTCTGATTTAAATGTTTAATATATTTTTAAAACTACTTTTTAAAAAAATTATGTAATTATTAAAATTTTATAATTAAAATCAAGTTATAGCCAATGGAGGAAAGGAGAAATAAGCAGTTCATTTTAAAGGGTGTCTATTGACTCCACATTCAATCAGACATGAGTCTATTCTGGTTGAACGTTAACCAAAATAAAAATATATATTTGGATAGAGTCCTGCTATTCAGAGCATTTTACAATGGTCAGTAAGAGCTCCATCACTTGGAAGTCTGTTAGAAATGCAGACTCCTGGGCCACACCTCAGGTCCACTGCACTAAAATCAGCATTTTACAACACCCTCTAGTGATTTGCATATATATTAAGGTTTGAAAATCACTGATTTTGATTACCTTTGATTTCATAGAAATTAAGTAATTTAATGATCTAGTAAAGTATTCTGCTGAATTAAAATTAATTAACCTCAGCTTTTTTTCTTTACTTGTTCTGCGTTGTCCTTTACCACATTTTCTCTCTTCCATTTCCAAACCCAAGATCAAAGAGAATTCATCTTTGCTCCATATACAAGCCAATGCACCACAAAGTACGTAATAAACTAATTCATTCAGAAGGGAATGATCGATAATGCTTCTTTTGTTCTAAGCATGTTGGAACAGGGAAGGTATATATTTTGTATACTTTGGTAACACAACAGTACACTCACACAGACATACATATGCACACACAGACACACAAACACAGAAACACACAATCCTTCATAGCGGAATTAAAATGGAAAGTTTTTATTTTATTTGCCACAGTGAATAAACTTTGGTTTGCATTATTTGGAAAATGTGTGAAACATTATGTTAGTAATTGCACAGAATTATGGTAAAGTTATGTGTAATCCCTACATTAACAACTAAAGCAAATTAAGAATAAAACATCTGCTTATTATGTTTTATAATTTACTATCCACTCATGAATACAAGACAAGGTTTGGTGTTATACCCTTACAACATGATATAAAGTTAAAAGTTTGACATAAACACTTTTACTCTGGGGAAACAAGCAATATTTAATTGCTTCATGTAGAGCAATAATCTCAGGTGTCTATACAGTGCATGTCCAGGGAAACCTGTGTAACGCAAAACTTAATGAGCAAGACAGAAACAGAGATAATGTTTTGATTTTTATTTCTAACTCAATCAGTCACCAGTTTAAACCAAACACATGAATAATAAATTTATAGGAAATTTGAATCAAAGCTATTATGACCATGTCATATTTGTCTGACAGACAAAACTATTCCGTAAAGGTGAAGACTGTAATTAGCTAGAGATTAACACTAAAAAGCAACACAAGCATTATCCTAACTATTTCACAAATTTATAATGATGTCCACTGTGTTAGCAAATAGAATTTGCAGAAAGAAACAAAATTGAGACATCAATTTGTGAGATTCGTGAGATTAATAACTGAATTTTTCATTTTATTAGCCCCTTTGTAGTCTTTCAGAAACCACATAGAATCAACATTTTTACTTGATATTCAGAGTCATCATGTTCAACATCACTTTCTATATATAATAAAAGTACAGGAGAAAGGCACAAAGAACTTTGTAGAACCTTGGGGATAGTGCCCCCAGCCTCGTGTTACTAATTCTACCATACTCTACTCCATACGCCTACCCAGCTGTGGCTTTTCAGTTTTCCTCTGTAACCCTGATGTTCTCATTGCTAAAATGAAATTGAAGAGTATTTTTAAAAACTATTTACCATGCCAATACATGTAAAGAGATTTAAATTTTACAGTCTAATAATTATCTATTGCATAAGTTTCCTAGGGCTGTCACAACACATTGTGACAAATTGGTGGCTTAGAACAACAGACATGTATTTTCTCACAGTTCTCAAGACTGGATGTCTGAAATCAAGTTGCTGTCAGGACTATGCTCCCTCTGACGACACTAGGGGAGAATACTTCCTTGCCTCTGGCTTGTAGCAGCAAAACTTCAATCTTCTTCCATTTTCACTTGGCCTCTTCCCTGTGTGTCTCTTGTGTTGTCCTTTACTGTCTCATAAGGACAATGTCATTGGACTTAGGGCCCACCCTGATTCACCATGATCTCATCTCAATCCTTACATTAATTAAAAGTCCAAAGATCCTACTTCCAGATAATGCCACCTTTGAGGTTCTCAGAGGATATTATTATTTTAGGGGACACTATTTTTTACACAACAGTTGTGTTACTTCACATAGGTTCAGAGGTATTTTACTAAACACTGAAGTGATCAAATAACTGATTTATTACAAGAGGTTTAAAAATCTGACCAGTGAACTGACTAAATCATTTGAAGAATCATCTCTAGTAGAAGCATTAAATTATCCTCAATAAAATAAATCAGATTACTTTGGGGAATATAAATCTTCATCAAAATTTTGCTGGGTGATTCATTAACTTCCTCACTGTGTCTTCGACATCTTTGTTCCTGAGGCTGTAGATCAAAGGGTTGAGCATGGGAATGACCACCGTATAAAATACAGAACCTACTTTGACCGTAAGCCATGAGTTTTTGGAGTGGGGGACACAATAGAGGAACAGGATGGTCCCATGGAAAATGGTGATGATGCTCTGGTGGGAGGCACAGGTAGAGAAATCTTTATGGCACCCACCAGCAGAAGGCATTTTCATGACAGCGTCAAAGATAAAACTATAAGTAGTGGGAACAATTACCAGGCTGCTCACTTCATTGAATATGGTGATGACAAAACAAAGCAGCTGGCTGATGTAGGGGTCAGAGCACAGGACAGAGACAATGACTGAGTGCTCACAGACAAAATTATTCATGATGTTAGACCCACAGAAGGATAAGGCCAAGAGGAAACAGGTGAGTGTCAGGGAGGAGTCTATGCCCCATGCGTAGGGCCCAGACACTAATGACACACAGAGTTTTGGGGACATGACAACTGTGTAGAGGAGAGGGTTACAAACAGCCACAAACCTGTCATAGGCCATCACTGCCAACATGAATGTTTCTGCCACTGCAAATATGGAAGCCAAGAAGAATTGCATGATGCATCCCATAAAGGATGGTTCTGTCTTCCA